AGTTTTCTGGTTTCTTGAGTCTACAGAAAGCCGCTATCCCTTCATCAGATCCAAAATGAATTCACACCCCTGGTTCGAGCTCATGATCGCTTTGACATACCTCTGCCAGAATCTGAGCTTCCAAATTCCAGGGACGCGTTCCAGCGACTGTGAAGCTGCCTGATACCCTTAAAATCTAAACCACACGAGTATGAAACACGTCTTTTTAAACTAATTTAACCATCTCTGAAGCAGTGGGAATAAATATGCTTATAATTTTATAAATAAAATATATTCTGTGAACAATTACTATTAATGTGGGAAGTCCTATTTGTTATTTTTATATATTTTATTTGTTATAAATTTCAACTTAAGGCTTGTGTCTTTTTACCATTAATTCCATCATTCCATCAATCACTATTTAAACTTCAAGTTCGGAATAAAAATGTATACAATCTCTAAACTCAACGGACTCAAAGGACTCAACATTCTTTGCTTCATCCAATTTAACCTATTCTTCTTAACTATTTACAAACATCACCAACTAATGTAAATATATAAAGTCCTGAAATAAAAAATTCAATGTAGTTTGTTTAAAAAACCACATGGTTATTAGTATGAAATATACGTGCAATTTTAAAATTTTGAGGTCAACGTAAGCGGTAGAGGGAATAGAACCAAAAAGAAAATATATGACGGTAGTGAGTTTTCATAATTAAATGCTGTTTACGAATATGGTGGCAATGTATGTACTTAGTCTTCCATTTTAATTGTTACTTTTTGCTGTGCTGTATAATTTTTGCTTTTGTTTTAATACCTTACTGAAAGTACAAAAGATTTTTTATCGTTACCAATATTTGATTTGATTTTCTTTGCAATATACAGGCTTTTTAAAAAGATTTTAAAGTACCGAAATAAAAAACTAACTGCTTTCGATCGTAATTCATAAGTGATATGAACGTAAACTTAAGAGCCAGTTGCTAAAAATCGTCTAAAACGAGGGTTTTTACGAGTTTTTTGAGGAAAAATTGAGCAATTTTCGCATGGCCTTTAAAATGATTTCTAAATAAGTTCTACAATTTCTTTAAAATCATCGATATATCCAGAATAATATTGTTCTTTAGGATATATTCATTTCACAAACACTTATTGTTATCTCCGATATAATTTTTGGTGCTCAAAGCGAGGAAACCAAATGTGTCTTATATTCATACCTTCAGTAAAACTTTAAACACAATGAAAAAGTTCAAATAGCTATTACTCCTACTTCCATTGAATATTATATAATAAAGTTGTGTAAATTTGGTTCCACTTAATTTACATTTTAGGTGTTTTATTTGTTAAAGAAAATGGTTTACACAATTATTACTCAAGGGAAATAAAATAACTTGTTGTCATAGGGTAACATTTTAAATATATATTTTTATTGTGTTCCTTACAACTATAGTTTATATTATCGTAGAAAGAATTTATAATATTATAGGATTTGTTTATCAGAATTGTTATTTTAAATAACAAAATAAATTCGAAATATTTTTTTATGTTGGCAAATTAAAAAACATATAAGTAATTAAAGACACGTTGAGTTGAGATTAAAATTATTTTTCATAGAACAAATGAAGCCAAACAAAGCACAAAATTGTTGGAATTTTATAACAAAAAAAACTTCCCACGATTTCCGTACAAGCGAAACGTTAAAGTTAAATTGAGCCCCGCTTCATATGCAACGAATTTATTTTTAGTTTGTTCCATCCACGCTCGCAATACACTCACGCCTTTGTGACAGAACTAGGTAACAATTGCTACGTCAGCTGGCTGGTTTCTCGTGCTCGGAATAATTATTTCATTATTCGCACCCGCTTGTACGGTCGCGGTATCTGTTAATGCAATCAGAGCTGTAAGTTATTTTACTAACGAACCCTCTGATTTCCAATTAATTATACCGATTCGCGATTCCTGAATGTTATTGGTTATTGATTCCTGTAAGTTATTGGCTATTAAAATAGAATTATAATTATTATAAACTTTAAAATCTAAAACGTTGTTTTGCTTAATAGAAAACTAATACCCACTTGAAAATAACTTTTATTAAAATCATTTAAATTTTCAAATACTGGAAATAGGAATTATGTATAAAGTAACACAACGTTTTTATAATAACCAAGCTGAAAGTCTGGTTCTAATTTTTTATTTTTAAAAACAAACCAGTTGCTGACCGGTACTTATTTTTGCATTAAAGTTATTTCAGTTCTTATTTGTAATTTAAAATTTTTTTCTAAATAAAATTGAACAGTACTTAACTACCGGCCCACCTGACAGTATGTAGAAATGTTCACTTATTAGAGTTAGTGTACTAACTCAATAGAAGCCTAGTCACTCTTTCATTAAATACTCCACTATGTAAGTTCCTACTTCCCTCCCGGGAACACAGACCCAGTTAAGCTGTTCCAATCCTGTTCCTATATACAAATAAGGAATGGAGAAATGGTTAGCTATGTTAGGGCATGGGTGACGGCTAACTGATTTGGTTTTAACCTAGTCATGATCGCCTATACCACTTTTGACATTTTTTGTCACGGAGTCCAAAGTCGTCAGGGGACATCTTTATGGTCAATCACTGAAAAAATTACGTTATTACGTAGGTGAATCATGAGTTATTCGTTCAATATTGAAACAATTCATAATCTTAAAGAGTTTGGAAGAAAGTGAAATCAAATGATAATTAATTAAAGCAGCTTTTTTTTCAAGAAAAAGTAACACTGGCAATTTTCCAAAATTTATGCACATTACCAGTCATAAAATAAGGGCGGTAATACCGAATTAGTCACTGACTTTGTTCACTTCAAGACTTCTCATAGTTTCAGTATCCGTTTATTATTTACACTTAAACTTATCTTACAGGAACAAGGACAGCTACTGTTAGCAGGTTAAGATTTGACCATATATTTTTGGGCCCTAAAAATTAATACATTCGAGATTAGTATCCTGTAATGCCCTTTTGTAGCTCCCTTTAATTAGCCCTATATTTATTAGAAACTAGAAGACTGGCAAACTTCGTATCGCCCTATAATCAAGAAATATCTATTACGTTTTTTTATTTATATTTTTTGAGTTTACCTGTAAGCCATAAATCTCCGTGTTTTGATGTGCGACAGAATGATTGACATATTAGTTAGTTGTCAAATCTAATGTCAAAATAAACGTTTGTATGGGAAATAGAAAAGGGCTTTTTTTATGGTTTGCCCAGTAATGAATAATTTTTTTCAGCTTTTATACCTTCCCTGAACCTCCACAAACATTTCAAGACTAAGATAAAATAAATCCGTTCAGCTGTTCTCGAGTTTTAGCGAGACTAAGGAACAGCAATCCATTTTTATATATATATAGAAGAAGATATTAACAATGAAAAGTAATAGCTACTCCTAGTTTTTAAAGCAACATTACTATTGTATCTGTTTACATACCATTATTTTATTAGTTAGGTATACTAATAATTGTGTTACATACTTAGTTAATATTTGTTTTAATATCTATTCAAAAAGGTAAACAATTTACTATATTTTTATTTTAGATAATCACTCAGTCATTGTAGTATTAACATATTACGATATCTTTTACAAAAAACAAAACTTTTTTATGGTAATATATTTTATGGTAAAGTTGTTCGTCGATAATAATTATCGTTCATTCTCTGGGGTGTGTATAGTTCTACTGTATTTCAACTATGATATACGAACACAGTAACTATGTTAATCTGATTAAAACTTTAGTAATATATTGATAGTACGATATAACTGTATTTTCTAGAATGGACTGATTTACACGTACAGCAGTTTAACATAAAAAAACAGTTCAACATTTTTTCAGAAAACAGTAATTTTTTTATTTTGTTACAAATAATTAGACAAAAAAGAAGTTCACCTGATTATTAAATTAAAAATATTCGAAATTTGAAAATTCTTCAGAATATTACAACAGAAATATTGTTCAGGATTTCACAGTTATATAGATATTAAGTATATTTTTTTTGCATCCAGATTTTATTTTTCAAAATTTTATTTTTAATTTCAATAATCTATTCTATCTTCAAAACTAACACTATCAAGTTTTGTTAATATATAAGATACTAGAAGACCTGGCGAACTTCGTATCGCCCTATAATCAAGAAATATCTATTACGTTTTTTTATTTATATTTTTGGAGTTTACCTGTAAGCCATAAATCTCCGTGGTTTGAAGTACGACAGAATGATTGACATATTAGTTAGTTGTCAAATCTAATGACAAAAAAAACGTTTGTATGGGAAATAGAAAAGGGCTGTTTTTATGGTTTTCCCAGTAATGAAACAATTTTTTTTCACCTTTTATACCTTCCCTGAACATCCACGAATATTTTAAGACTAAGATAAGATAAATCCGTTCAGCTGTTCTCGAGTTTTAGCGAGACTAAGGAACAGCAATCCATTTTTATATATATAGAAGATTATCAAAATATTAATTATATCTATGACTTTCGCGAGTTTTTATGTCGATAATGTCGAGAGTATGTAGTTTAAAATAATAATAAACTCGTAGTACAAACGTAAATATTAGTTTTACCAAAATATTTTTTAAACAGTATTTGTATGGAAATCATCTACTTATGTCCTATTTTAATTGAATATATTCTCCATAGCACTATAATAGTAGATAGCAAATAACTGTCTTGTTAATATAGTCTAGGCGCTAGAGGTAGTTGAGTATGCAAAATCCGAGTGACGGCAACTGTGACCGGATTCTTATACCTGAGACCCTAAATAATGACAAAACACATCTTGCCGCCAGGTGTTATGCTCCCTTCACATCCCCTCTGCGCCCATACAGTAAGCATAGCGCGCTCACTTGTTTAGTGTGTTTCTACATCTGTTGACGTACAGACGTTGCATTTTTAAGTCGTTTTTTTTTATATATCATATAAAATAATAGTATTTTCGTAAATTCTTAGTGTCTGTTCAAAGTGTACTGTATTGAAAAACGTAAAAAATGTCGTTAGAAGTGGTTAATTTGAAAAGAAAAAAACCTAACGAACAATTTTGCTTATTCTGCGATAATTCAAGTGAATTAGTGAAGAACCCGAGGCCAAGTACGTTGCTTCATATCAAAGAAGCAGCAAATAGGAGAAAGGACAGCATTAGTGACAAGTTTTCAAAACTATATGATCCAGACTCCACAAAACAAGAATTTTCATGGCATCAAGACTGTTTAGCCACTTATACAAGTGAGGAGAAAATAAGGCGTCGAGAAATTGCGTTGCATAAAAAAGAAGAAGAAGAAGTGTCTGCTTCAACTTCCAAAGCAAACGTGGAGGAGCTGACTCCAAAATCTCGTTCGTCATCAAGGGAACCGGCAGCGTTGAAAAAATCGTTGAAATGCATATTTTGTAAGAAGGTAACAAGAAACAAAGATAAGCAGCTACATTTATGTTCGGAAATTTCAGCAGCGGAAAAAATTTTTAGTACTGCACATAGGAAAGAAGATCATGTTTTCACTGAACTGAGTACTTGTCAACGCCCTGAAGATTTATTTGCTATCGGAGTGAGATATCACAAACATTGTTACCTTGATTATTTAAGATTACCGAGAAGTTCTGAATTGCCAGCTGGTCGACCTTCAAATCAAATCCCTAAAGAAATACTTATCGATGCATTTGACAAACTAATAGATGACATTAAAGACCGGTTACCAACACATTCTTTTGAATTGCGTTTCTTAGCTCAACGACTCGCTGAACTTACAAATATTGAGGGTGCAGTGATCGAAAATCGTGTAGTGAAATCACTACTTATAGATAAATTTGGTGAAAACATATTATTTTCTTACCCAACTGATCGATCAAAATCATCATTAGCGTTTATGGGAAATATACCATTGCCGGAAATAATAGAACATGTTCGGAACATCAATTCAAAAAACACCATCATTGAGACTGCAAAAGCATTGCGTGAAGAATTATTAAAAACCGAATTAATACCTGGTGGATACTTACGTGATGAAAATTTGATTCAAAGATTATTAGAAAATGGAAAATTGCCACAAACATTTGAAATTTTTCTGCAAGCTTTGTTTAATGCAAAAAACCAAAAGTTGAGCGCGAACTATTATAAAAGAGCATTATCTGTATTTTATGATATATATTTTATAGTTACTGAAAAGCAGACACCAAAACATATAGCTTTAGCTGAATCAATTCATCACTTAACTAGATCAAAGCAACTGATAAGTATATTAAATAAGTTCGGGCATTGCATTAGCTATAAAAAATTACAAGAGCTTGGTTCAGAATTAACAATTTCAATTGCGTGTGAAGATGCAGAAAAAATGTGATTATTCCTAAGAATATAGTGAAAAATTCATCGTTATTCCTTCATGGTGCCATCGACAACAACGACTTCAATGAAGAATGCATCAATAACAAATGTGAAAATAAAAATGATTAATATTTTACCTTTTTTTTTTAACGAGGAGAATCTTTTAAAGACTTCCTGCCACGGGGGAAACATGACAGGGGCGTGTGGGATTTCCACCCACTAAACTCCTCGGCGTTCTCTGCGCTGTGCGTAGACTAGTGAGCGGGAACGGCAAGCCATACTTCCGCTCACTACGCACGAGTACCGAAAGGGGACTCCGCCTTCGGCAGGGGTATCAGTGGCTGACCACACCACCCCTCCGACTCAAGAGCAGCGTGCCGGGAACGCCAAACACGCCGCTCTTCCTCTAGCCTATGTTACCCGGACGCCGGTTCCCCACCGACGCCCGGAGGCTTCCTCACTGGGGAGGCATGTCGCGAGCATAAGCCCGCTGCCTTCGACCCAGCCTTCGTCGGCGCAGCGGGGCCGAGGAGGGGTCGTCTTCCCTCACTCGTTCAGCAGCCTCCTTCTGCAAGATGACTCTCTCGCTGAAGTCGACCACCGCCTGCCATGCCCTCTCGCTGCCGACCATGGCCTGGACCACTGCCGGCAACGAAAGGTCTGCGCCAACCACGCGGATGAGTTGGCTCCGCTCAGATATCCACGCTGGACATTCCATCAAGGTGTGGTCAGCGGTGTGTTCCACGCGACTGCAGTGGTGATTACTTTTTTACCTACTTTAACTACATTTATGCTTTAATTAGCTGGTTTTCATATATAATTTTCATTTTTTTATCAATAAAAAAAAATTATTACTGTAATTTTTGTTTTTTTTTATTATTTAAGAATCCATCTTCACTTATAACACGAGAAAATACTATAAATTATTACGAAAATAATCATTAAAGCGATTTTATATCATGTACTAAATACATTCCCTTTATTAATAAGAGAAGAGGGGATAAAAAAAAATGGACCAAAAAAAATTGACCGGCAAGATCCACATTATTATTTTTTAACCTTTTCCTCACTTAAATCCGTTGGCGAAATTTGGTACTCACATTTTGTATACTCACTTACCTCTAGCGCCCGGTGTAATACTACCATGTCTACAATATTATTAAACTTGTATCTGTCACGGCTATATAAGATATTCTGTTCGAATCGTATGTCTCATACTAAAAACGGTAGAGTTATGATTTTTTTTTATAGAATTCTTAAATCAATAACACAAAACGGAGCTTTGTCGTTAAATTGCTTCATCACATCCGTAGCTGTATCATTACCTTTACCTGGGAAAATATTATTGAAATTGTGCGCAGTGATTTAATATATTATTGAAATCCAGACACCACACGAAATCTTGTGCATAAAAACTCACATCGACTTGAAAATCAAATAATACATGGAATCACTTGAAAATGACATAATAAGCATATTATAAACCTGGACTAATTCGTAACTTATTTTAATAGACAAACAAGTAAACAAAAACACTTTAACATATTTTCTAATCATCATTAAAGTAGCTGAAGTTTAATTACTGAACTTAATTGTTTAAAACAAAATGTTTGATCTGTGGAAAATTTGACACTTCAGAAATATTACTGACGTTTTGTCTCAAAAGTCAAAACTTGTTAGTTCTTAGCTGTTGTTGTTTATAATACGGTCAAAGGGAACATAGTTTTACTAATTGTTTCGCGTATAATAAAAAATAATGGTTCGAAGACAGCGGGACCAAAGTACTTCAGAAGATGAAATAGTCATTGGTAACAGTTCAGTTTATATCATTGTATTATATTAATAGCTGACATTATATATTAAAAGATACTTGTCACCGCATTTTTCAGATACTACACCTCAAAAGAAACACAAACGACATAAACATAAGAAACATAAAAAACGGAAAATAGACAACGATTACGATAGTGATAGTTCCATTGACGTATCTTACGAAGATGCTGTAGACAAAACATTTAAGATGAAACCAAAAAAGGAGATCCCTGGGACATCGGCCGCCGACATTTTAAAGGCTCAAACAGTTAAGTCATCTTCAGATTCACGAAAATCTATACCTGGATCTTCTTCTAGTACACCCCCAAAGACTGCTCCAAAAAAGAAAAAAGCCAAAGGTAAGGACAGTGGAACTTCTAGTGAAGAAGAGCGATGGCTAGATGCTATAAAATCAGGAAAACTGGAAGAGGTAACTGTCACAAATTCATATTATTCATATAAGTTCCCCTTAAAATATTATAAATAATCTATTGGGTACAATATTGTCGTTACAGGTTGATGAGGAATTAAAAAAAATCAAACCCAAAGATCCCAAAATGATGACAGCAAGACAAAGAGCAATGTACGAGCGAGGCACAGATAAAGATACGGGTCTTGGTGGAGAGGTATTGCTGGCTCTGCCATCAGGTTACAAAGAAAAAGTCATGACAGCTGAAGCTATACAAAAAGCTGCATTAAAATCTCAAAAAAGAAAACAAATGGCTGATGAAAAGAGAGAAAAAGATAAAAAGAAAACTATGGATCGCCTTTTAAAAAAACAAGATTCTAAAAATCTTAAAAATGCTCAAAAAGGAAAACCAATTAGAAAGGTCGAACCAATGATTGTCTACAAGAATAGCAATTCAGAAATTTATTTGACATTCCCTCCTGGTATACCATTTCCATTAGAGAACAAGCCTCCAAGAGAAGTTCCAAAACCCATCAAGTGTAGTATAAAGGACTGTGATAACATAAAAAAATATAATTGTTCAAAAACTGGTGCACCTCTGTGTAGTTTGGAATGCTATAAAAAGAATATGGAAATTATATCTGTTCAATAAAACTATTACCCAATTCATGCAATCTCAATTATGAATGTTGCTATGTCAATACCATTATATGGAGAATCTATGAGGCTCTCCCAAAATAGTTGCCTTTACTTAAACGCTCCTACTAAAAAATAATAGCAAAGCTATACCAACATTAATGCAATCTTGTTAGGCTTAGGTTATAACTTATAAGTTTTAGGAATATATTTTTTATTATATAAATTAACTTGTCAGGTTTCCTAAAACTGGCTAGTGGTAGCCCATATATTCATAACTAATATGAAAATAAATACCATTGCTATGTAGAAATTCAACTAATTTGTGATGATTGATATAGGTGAAAAATAAAAGACACACAGACAGCTAAACAGTGAGCGAGTGAATATATTAACAGTTAAACATTTTTATTATGTGATAAGAATAAGATTGAAATTCCTTACTGTAAAAATCATACAAATTTTGAAATAAAAATAACAATGAGGCTAAGTCATGCATGAGTACATTTATAAACCTTGAATTAAATTAGTTATTTTTAGAGTGCATTATAACCATCCTTGATCCAATAAAAATATATATACTTAGCCTTCATAACAATCATTCTCCATACACATTTATGGAAAAAGGAACCAATAAATAGCCTCAAAAATAACATAAATGGCATATTAAATATCCTATATACGGAACTGGAATAATAAATATCAGACTAGAATCATAAAGATTATCTAATTCTGAATTATCTACTGACATTAACTATTTTCAATACCACATGCATAATCATGTGATTACAAATGTCCAAAAACATGCATAATATTTAATCGCAATTTATATTTCATACATTTTACAACAATTTGACATGATTTCATAATACAATTCATCTCTACATTCCATACAAAACTTTTATTCTCTCTACTAACATCATTTCACACAATAAGTTTTCAAATGCTCGATGACTAAGTTACAGACACCTATACAAGACTTCTATATTATTCCACTTGGTATACTAATAAGAACAAGAAGAGCTTACACATGAAGAAAGACTAAATATGACAACACTGATTTGGCAATTTATTTGAGCTACAATTATAATGTAAAATATCATAATATTTCATTGTTTTTCTTATTTATTTTAACATTCTGTACTTCATTCATGACCTTATAATAAACATCTACTAACATTCAAATATCTGTTCTCATAAGATCTAGTTACTAGACAAGAAAACATGGCACTTGCATCTTCACACTTATAACATCTCAACTACAAGTTTGTCATCTACAAACTTTACTGCTATATTTAGGATGACGATGCAAACCCACACTATGAACACTAGTTAAGATACTATCAAGTCAAAAATTTAATACTGTCATAGATTTCAAGTATCCACAAAATGGGCAAGAATAGTGATTAAATACTAATGAATGATATAGTTTTCATGTCATGTATGTTCGGACTACAGCAGTACAACATTGTTCTGCTTCAATGATGTGTACATCTATATTAATATTATACATAACACTTTATATAGATCCCACACAAACAATTCATTAAATTTGAAATTCTCAAATAAATGCTTCACTTCATATTTGTCACTAGTCCAGGAGCTCACAGAAAGTCAAAGAGTTCAGTCAAGTTTTAGATACCAAAGCACGGTAGCCAGCAAAACGGTAGATAAAAACTGGCATTATATCAAACATTAGTCCGTTTAGAACTTCTCAGGCGAGCTAAGCCTGATTGTAACCGCTAAGATTGATTGTTCTGCTTGTTAGACCTGAGACGAGCCAAACCAGAACGCTCCTCCTCCTCGTCACTTGTGCATGACAGCCCTCCAACAGCACCACGAGATGAAGTAGCCTGTATTAAATCCTGATCAGGACCATTTCTGCTTTCATATAACAGAATACCCAATGTTTCTTCATATATTCTGGCTTCCGGAAACTCAACCTTAGTATGCTTTTTATCAGTTGCATAAACAATGGAAGTACAACATACTTCCGCACATTTCTTTCCATGTCCAAAGAACGTCCAGCAGCAGATTTCATTAGAGCCAATCACATCTTTAATAAATAATACTCTTCCGCTAAATCTCAATGACAACTTATCAAACAGCTCAATATTTTTTAGCAAATTGTCATCAGATGTGCTTGTATAGGAATACTTGTTGTTATGTCTATTGATAAGTAATTTGACAACCGGCTGAAAGAGACAGAATTTTGATTTAAGTATATTTTATTAATCTCAAAATATTTAAATAAAAAAATATATTTTACCTTAGAAGTCGACATAATAAGAAGTTGTTCTTCTTTGTGAGAAGTGATCAATGGAACTCTGCATATTGGTTCAGCTTCCCTTTCTTTCTTACTGAGTGCTTGCTGACAGGATTCTGTTAATTCCTCAATCAAGAAATATTTAGCCTCTGCTAACAATTCCATAATTTCTCGGTAACTGTCTGGCAGCGCAACTGTTCCATCACGGAGATAGTTCAGAATCGTTCCAAAATGCTTTCCGCACCGATCGATCAATATCCAACCTACAATTTTTTTTTTATATAGTATTGAACGATAAAAAACATTAACTTTTTATTGTTTAGAAAATATTATAAATACCCTCAGAATCTGTGAGCACCTCCATTCTGCCGCTAAACATGGTTCTTAACATGTTGTCACTTTTTGTTAATGTTCCAATGGTCGTGTAGAACAGTGTACCACCCACATTTAACTTAACATACTGCGAAGGGCTTCCTTTTATCAAAGTTTTGTGATCGCCCGACATTTTACGTACCTTATCTGATGATTTATACAAATAATATTTTTTTCTAGAATGTGTTTACACTTAATTATCAGATATTTTTATTCCAATTACACTTCAAAAGTTAAAGCTATCATTTTGAATGGTTAATTCTTATTTCGATAGCTGTATATTAGAAATTAAAATTATACCCAACACCGCCATTGATAAATTGATTAAACATCTACACCCACAAACCACAGATTATGAACATCATATCTTAAATATTGATATACGCTACTGTCAGGAGTATATATTGATTGATCGATATACACTACATTTAAAAGTTCAAATCTACCATTAATAACAATACATTTACGACTATAAAGTAGTTAAATATTTTAGTAATTATAAGTTTCCTTTACTATACGGTGAAATTTCAAAAATCTGTATTCCTTTATAAAAATTATATATTTCGAACAATAAAAGTGTTACTTAAAAATTGTTGAAATTATTTTACTGCATATTAAAATCATTATGTTTCTATAAGTATTAGTTAATTTAAATAATTATTAACCATTTACTTAAAAAGTTTCTTATTTTAATCTGATGAAAATCAAAAGTCTTAAAGCATAGACATAAAGCATATACACTTTAATAATCTGTATGTCATCGGTTACCCGAGTTTTCGGCTAGGCTTGCCGCCTGCACGCTCTTGTAGAACTTCGCGCGTCAGTTATTTTGCTTGTAAATTTCATGCACTAACTTGACAAAATGGGTGCTTATTTGTCTCAGCCTGTTACTGAAAAAATATCTAGTGACGAAGTAAACGAAAAACTAGAATGTGGTGCCAGTTCCATGCAAGGTTGGCGTGTCAATCAAGAGGTAAGATATTGTTTCGGTATTATTTATTATCCAAATAGCTATTTCCATTGCTTTAATGATACATACGATATTCCCACTAATGTATTCAGAATAAAACATCAAATTAGTTCAGTATATGTACCTTAACAAAGATCACTCGTAGCTACTGTTTTTGTGAGTGAATATTACTTGTATCTTAAATCTATAGCACGTACTGTTTTTATTACAGTACTTTATCATAGATTTGGTAATTGTTTCCAGGATGCTCACAATACAATTCTTGATTTTGACGAAAATACATCTTTGTTCGCTGTTTACGACGGTCACGGTGGCGCCGAAGTAGCTACATACTGTTCTCAAAACTTACCAAATTTTATAAAGAATACCGATGCATACAAAAATGGAGACATGAATAAGGCATTAACAGACGCCTTTCTAGGATTTGATGCCACCATTGCAACGAAAGAGGTTATGGAGATACTGAAAGAATTAGCAGGCATGTATTATCAAGCCTTCTCAGTTGTTAAATAAACACTTTTGATATAAAAAAAACCTTATTTTTCAATTTGCCATTTATTTGAGTAATATGGCTTTTACCATAACTTTAACAAAAAATTCTAGGTTATCCATGTATATTTATGAATTGTTCATCTATTTCCATAGGTGAAATCAATCCTCCAGGCCCCAGTGACAATGAAGAATCTGATGATGAAAATATCAGCAATTTGTACAAAGATGCGGGACTGCCTCTTCAGGTCTGATAAAGAAATGCAATAACAGTCATGAAATTAGTCTATGTTTGATACCTTACTTTAATTCTAAATCCAATATAAATACAAAGGTCGTTTCCAAATATGATAGGTAATGTTATTTATAGGAGGTGTTGGCCAAATATGAAAATAAGTGGAGTGCTCTCCATCGTACAAGAGTTGGTGATACAGCTACACCATTGTCACCATGTTTACGTGCAAAGAAAAACTTTGATGATGCTGAAGGATCAGGTTAATATATTTTATGTGAAACTAATATTTTTTGAATATATGTACTATACTACGAATGAATATACTATACAGGGTGACTGGTGAATTACTATCAATATTTAAGGAGAATACTCGGTACATGATTCTCATTCGAATTATGTAAAAAAAATAGGCACTTCATTTTTGACAAAATTTCCGTATAAATAAATAAAGTGTTGACACGTTCCAAGTGTTCCAAGTGTGAACGCTTGCGGCGGCGTGCTAATACAACACCACGCCGCCGCGCGCGAGTGTGTGTGTGTGTGTGTGTATACCTAATCTGTAGTGTGTTCATACGATGCGTAATTAATTACATAACTTTTGGTTAACTTTACTTAGAAGTTTATTAATATTTATGTTATATTAATTTTTATTTTGTCATATATGATCGTCAAATATCACGTCCTCAAGTATCGATAGTAATTCACCAGTCACCCTGTATATGTGACTATTTTTGTAATAAACTACATACTGCCAACGTCTCACAGTAATATATAAATATTTATGTTTATGTATTTTGTGATTTATATATATACATATAAACAGTTAAATGAACAATTTTAAATATGAATAATTCTCCATGTCTTAAGGTGCTGGAGCATCAAGTTCTAGTGCAGAAATCAAATTTGTTGCGGGTTCAAGCTCGGAAAAAAATGAAGATGAAGCTACATCCAGTATAAATGGATTATCAAAAATAGATAAATCCGACGAAGATACTGGTGGCGTCTCCTCGTCAAATTGTAATGATGACAAGGAAGTGAATGGAGTGGTAATAATATAATCATGCTTATTTAAATCATCCAATCAAATACATTGCCGTAGTATGTAAATTAGATTCTCATATTGTAGCTCTTAAATATTTATGATAATTCAATACAGTAAACAAATCTTATTGATGTCAGGTATCAACAAGTGAACAGAATGAAACAGCGGCCACATCAATGGAGGTTGATAAAGTTAATACACCAGACAGTTCTGGGGAGAATTGTAATCACCCAGAACAAAGCGCCGACTCAAAAAGCACATCCGAAGTTTGCAATGGTGAAGTAACAAATTCAAAAATTGATGGTGAAAACAATATCAGTTCCTCGAATGGATCAGCAACACCGGTTAAGTCTGATGTAACCAAAGGTAATTTCTTATAAATTCTTTACAATATAATATGTAGGGCCTGGATAAATACGTATTAAAAAATCTAAAATATGTACCTAAAATATGGACGAAAAAATCAAAAATATGGAAAAAATATGGAGTATAAAATTAAATACTTTCATAATTAAACATTGTTTTACTATAAGAAAAGGGTCACTCGTGACGTACATCGTTAAGTTACATTTAAAAAACGATTAAAAAAAGTAGCGAAATATTTATTTCAACAAAAAATAACAGTTTTATTTAACTTCCATTACACTAGCCTTATCAAATTGGTTGCAATACACAATGTCGTGATTCTTTACATTATCAAAATGAAAACTGACCATTTGGTCGACATATAGCATTACATCTGCTAATTGGTCTCATCTCAAGTCACTGACGTGATGGATGCATACTTATATATTCTTTATTCAGTAATTGTGTAAGCCACGTCTACAGCCCTCGAAACTTTCGCACAGAATTTTGTAAATTTTTTTAGCGTATTAAATCCTTTATTTTATCCAAAAATTAGTGGCAGGAACGTAAATTTTATGCATTTTTGTGAATATATGGATGATTGTGACATTTTCTTGTAAAATATGGACTTAACTTTGAAATATGGTAAAATATAGAAAAATATGGAAAATAAAAGTTGGTTTTTCACAGTTTAAATATTACAGTCCATGTAAAAAACACATTCTAGACCGAAAATCGCGTAAATTAAAAATATGTATTTACATATTAATCCGGGCCCTAATAATATGATTCACCAAACTCTATATACAGGGTGACTGGTGAATTACTATCAATATTTAAGGAGAATACTCGGTACATGATTCTCATTCGAATTATGTAAAAAAAATAGCACTTAATTTTTGACAAAATTTCCGTATAAATAAGTAAAGTGTTGACACGTTCCAAGTGTTCAAGTGTGGACGCGTGCGGCGGCGTGCTGATACAACACCACATCGCGACACGCGTATGTGTGAGTGTGAGGGTATACCTAATCTGTAGGGTGTTCACACGATGCGTAATTAATTACATAACTTTTGGTTAACTTTACTTAGAAGTTTATTAATATTTATGTTATATTAATTTTTATTTTGTCATATATGATCGTCAAATATCACGTCCTAAAATATCGATAGTAATTCACCAGTCACCCTGTATATTTTAAAGTGAATGAATTTAGGTTCTTTGTAAATGTATCTAAAGAAGATCATATTACTATCCTACTTTATTGTATTTTCAACTCCCATCCTTAGTGTCGAGTTCAGAAAAAGCTCCAGAGAGACCAAAGAAATCGAAGCTAAGACGAGCTGCAGCAGCAGTGTATGAGTCATTATTAAGGCAGGGATTGACAGTTGATGAGGAAGATGACGATGAAAGTGACTCTAATGATGAAACCTTTGAAGGAGGCGAGGTTGATTCTTCAGACGAAGAACAAGTCAATGGTGTTGGAGAATCCTCAAATGATGGTAAGATATTAAATAATAACTTAAATTCAATTTTGTTATACACAGTTTAGCTTTGTATTCTGAATGTTACATTATATTTTATCTCACCATTATCTGCATGGTTTTATTTGTGTATATGAGACTGGGTGTTAACAAATTGATAACAGCCACTAAGTCATTCTATAAACTAATAAACTTATGTAAGTTGACAATTTAATTAAAAATACAATTCATTTTCTTTTTATTAGAAGCAGACGAAGATGATGATGATGACGATGATGATGCTGAATCAAGTGGTGATGAGAGGGAGGAAGATATAAACTTGGTTGAGGAACCTGGAAGTGATAGTGGCTGTACTGCGGTTGTGGCATTACTTAAAGGTCTGTATTATGATAGTAATATTTTTTATGTGGATGTTAAATAGGATTCTGGTCTATTCTATGATGATCTAATCAAATAAAATGAAAAGATTTCCTAATATGCTTCTTGCATGTTGATTTTTTATCTAGAAAAAACTTTCTATGACAAAGCCTTAGTAGAAATGAAAAAACCTCTATGGCTGTATTTACTTTTGTTAGTGTCATGATTTGTGTCGATTATAATATTTTTAACCAATCAAATAAAGATGCATTATTATTCAGACAATACTAATGTTATCCCTTTTGACAGGTAATGAACTGTATGTTGCTAATGCCGGTGACTCTCGCTGCATTATATGCAGAGAGGGCAAAGCGATAGACATGTCAATAGATCACAAACCTGAAGACAGCCCAGAACTTGAAAGGATAACTAAAGCTGGCGGCAAAGTATCAAGTGATGGACGCATTAATGGTGGCCTTAATCTGTCTCGAGCTATCGGAGATCATTCATACAAACAAAACAAGGAACTAAATGCAAAGGAGCAAATGATTACAGCCTTACCAGATGTAAAAACATTACAGCTAGAACCAGAAAAGGATCAGTTTATGGTGTTGGCTTGTGATGGAATATGGAACTTTATGTCTAGTCAGGATGTATGTGACTTTATCCTTCCCAGATTGGCTGAAGGAAGGGACAGGTTATCACAAATATGTGAAGAGGTATGTACTTTTTGTATATGTATTTGATTTCCATGATTAAATATTTGTAATATATAATTGTATTCCTTGTTAAATATTTAATGCATTTATGACTATTCTAGATGTTTGACCATTGTCTGGCACCTAGTACAATGGGTGACGGTACTGGCTGTGACAACATGACTGCCATTATAGTGAGGTTCAAAGATGGAGTTATTGGTGATGTTGGACAGTACACAACTGAATCAAAGAAACGCACAGCAGACGAAGAACCCAATGACGACCAGCAAGACACAAAAAGGCCAAGAATTGATGACTCTTTATCAAGTTCAATTGTGACTTCGAGTGTTTAATCACTATTTTAAGTATACAGTGTTAAAATGCTGCAGACTGCTGTAAATTATAGACATTGAAATTAATCCCAGAACTATTACTACTTGTTTATGTTTCACTTGATTTCTATTTATATTACATATCTACAGCGTACACTCCTCGCTACTCATGTTTGGTATTTATCAAAAAGTGTTTTGTTTATTATAGCGTGCTAATAGTTCACTAGGATTCTTACTATGTGGCCTTGGTGTGCCATTAGTTATTTATTGAATATTGGTGAAATAATGCCAAATGTTTAATTTTCTATACTGAAATTAATTTGTCTTGAAATATTTAGATTCATTCCATGAAATACAAAATTTCGTTTCATACAATACATAAAAATGTTTGGAATTTTTATAGAAAATGTGCAACATATTTTTTATAAAGACTAATTGTAATGTTAAGGATAAATTCATAAATTAATTTTGATACCAATCAGTAAGACTAAGTGCTAAATTCAAAAATGCATAGATGTAAGTTTTATTAATACATTTATTTATAATTGTGATGCTTTTCACATTCAATTGTTTTTATAGTTCTGTAGTGTTCCTGATGTGATTATTTTCTGGATACCAACTTGTATGTCACTGGTTTTTTGTAATTCAGTAAGAAATATCTGTGAAGTTAGCTTGGAAAAATGAAATAGCTAGCCCTTTATAAATGAATATTGAACTGACTGGATGATAGTTATTAAGGAATAAGTGTAAGCTTATGGTACTAGTATTAAGGTTAGACTTTATTTTAAACACAGATATCAATTGTTCTGGGGGGTACTCTATAAATCATGTTTTATTTCTTGGTTTTTCTCTTATCTAGTTGACTATATACTTTCACTGCTTTGACTCTGAGTTGAAGTTTTATTGAAATGAATTTATTCAGTAACTAAATTTTTCTTCTGGTTTTGGTAAGTTTGGAATGTTCCTAAAATAAAAAAATTTGAACCATGGGTATACTGAAAATTTTAATCTACATATTGTTAATGTATCCTAATCTGGACACATGATAGTGTTGGTAGTAATATATTTTGACGTCCTCGAACTTTAAAAGAAAAAACTTGTTACTTTATATGAGAATATGGTTGCATCTATGGTTTTACATCACATTGATTCATGTGTAGTTTCAGAATTTTAAGTTCAGTGACATATTGACATTTCAAGTGTGAATTAATTTTTAAAAATACATTTTCTACAGAATACTACACGAATTTTATTACCTTCAATATATTTATTTATTTTTACGTAACCGTGTTCTTGTGCATTTTGAATAGAAGCGGTCATTTTAAAGAACTATAAGGTTGTGAAGGGCAAATAATCAAACAGTTATTGAGAGTAATTTTTCTAAATTTCAAAAAAAATACTACGAAATCACAAAAAAAAATTCATATTTGTTTATTTGAACTTATTAAAATTATCGTAGTTGCGTCAAGTATTCGACCGTCTCTGATTGAGTGGCGTCCAGGATTTGAAGAGCATCATATTCGCTGTCCAATTGTTCTAGAATTAATGATTTATCACTTATCTCAGCCTGGAAAAAGAGGAATATAGTCTTATTATTCCTTATATTTTAAAATAAAATTTATTTTATTTCACTTACTTGTAATCTTGCTTGTTCACTTTCTCTATCTTTTTCTATTGACTTCAATAGATTAGTGGCGCCAATGGCTGCCATTTTTTGTTTTTCAACATTTTCTCCCAACTTATTCAACATATCCAACAATGACCCAATAATATTGCCAAAATCACGGACTTCTAATTAATATTACAAAAAATAACGACATTGATTAGTTGTTTATGTAGGCAGTGTATAAAATATTAATTAATGTTATAAATCTACAGTAAAAAATCTACATTAAAATAGTATATAAGCTTACTATTTTCGTAATCCTTACAGTTTTCTTGTAAATCTTGTGTTTCTTTATAAACATTATTTTCTATAACTTTGACTTTGTTAATTTCGTCATAATACAAATGAACTTTTTGTAGTTCCTCTGCCATGAGTTTCAATAAAATATTATATTAATTACCTATGTATTGAGTTCGATACAGTTAAGGACTTAAGGTTGTTTAAAATGATTGGTTACTAGGCAACAGAATAATTTTAAAATACCTATTACAGTATATAAAATATACACAGGTAGTTCACCAAAATAGTCGGACAGAGAAAAAAATAAAAATAATAGAAAAAAACAGTTTTTACTGTCAAGTTCGATATGTCATTAACTGTCACAAATTTAATAATATAGGTATCTTTTCAATATTGTATTAAAATTTGATTAGCGCTTTGTTAATTGTACCAAGTATTGCTAATTGTATGTTTCCTTTACGTGTAGAATTTATACAATGGTCTTCATTATATTTTTGTTTTGTCTATGACATATGTATCGATAATTTATGATGAAATAACGAAAATAAAAACTTAGTGAAAATAAAACTTTCATTAAGTTACTAGTATTTATCTTGTGATTTTTTTGAAAACTTATTTATTTTAGATGAATTGATTTTGTAATGTGACTGCTGGGAGACTTTATTTATTACCAAAATACTTTGATTAAGCAAATACCTAATGTTTTGTTTCCATTGAGAACTGTCACTATATATTTTACGTTCTAGATTAGTGTATACAGTGCACTTAATAAATGCAATATAAATTTACATAGTAACAAAATTTATTAGAATATTGACAATAGATCAAAACTGTTTCTTCTTTGTCTAAATATAAACACCAATAAATTGTAAAATAACTATTAGAAAACTTTTTAGGTAGTTGTATACATCTTAGGGATTATAGAATGTTTGTACATTGAAACAATAGAAATGGAAGGTTTAAGTCAAAATGAGAAGATTATTTGGAATTGTTGGCAAGAAAAATCACATAAAGATGTTGTTCGGGAAGCTGCTGCCAAAGGTACACATATTAATTTGTGTATGAAATATCTCATGAAAAAGAATTCTTGGACAGAAACCGAGGCAAGGAATTGGTTCCTAAATGAGGTAAACTTCATATTTATATATATATATATTTTAAACTTCATTCCATATTTACAACAACTATTGTGTTTTTACAAAGTTGTTACATGTCAAATATGTAAAAACCTACATGTACAATAATAACCTACATTTCTTATATATAAAGTATTCTTATATTATAATAACAGACTGTTATATTTCTGTGAGTTTATTAAAATGTGTTAGCAAATTGGATGCCATTGAGTACTTTTGAAAGACTTGAACATCAAAATTTTCATGATTGTAGTCGGCTAATATGTGTCTGTTTTTCCATTGTTTCTAGGTAAAAACATGGACAGATCAATTATTAATGAGAAGACAAATTTTTAAAGTTTTACACATACTTAATAAATGTAACATAAATCCTGAGGAGCATTTAATGGAACTTGCCAGATCTTCGGCACAGATTGACTATAGGGACTTCATAGTAGAGCATTTGCAGAAACTTATAAAGGATTTCAAAAAGGAGAACATTGAAAAGTGGGAAAATTTTAAAAGGCATTGGAACTTGCTTCAATATCTTGAAAAATCTTTTGAGGTTGACGGAACTTTCAAACAAAATAAAGTTTTTGGTACCGGATCTGAGAGAGTGTTTGTTAATGAGAGTGAAATAAAAGCGCTGACTATAGAAAAGATAGAAGAATATCCATCAGAATGGAAGTGTACAATCGCAACTGCATTGTTTTTTGATACATTTGGTATGTAAAGTTGCTTGCAATTATAAATATAAATATGTATAATATAAATTTCAGATTAAGATAAAAAAAAATCTGGTATAATTTTGTTTTTACATAAATGATAATATTATTTTTCTGTTTATTATTACTGATATAAGATATTATGTTACATTTATGTATACATAATCACTACTTGCATAATTACAGTTCTTGAATTTGCTGTATTTTTATGTTATGGACTATGTATATAGTATTTAAATCATTGATTGCTATATAATTCTGGTCTTTATAAATTTTCAGAGTTCTCACTTCTGGATTTCTCATCTCCTCTTCAGATGTGGAATTATTTGGTGAAGCACAATAAATCAATGATACTCGTCCGTTGGATAAATGTTCAGATGTCAGAAGTTGTTCGAGATATGAATGCTAGATATAATTTTTTTAATAACGATAATTTCGTCCAGAAGTTGCTGAATGTGGATACAAAAGGCTTTACACACGAAGTTCTCGACACTCTTGATGAGATTTTTCGCAAATGGCCCATTTTGCCGGAAATGATCGATAAAATTGATGCATCCAACTGCTTCGAATACACTAAGATGTGTATTTACGACACCCTTGCCTCGTACGGAATAATAATTCAGAAGGAGAAAACGGATTTGTATGAAATAATTGGTAGATTAACGAGAACGCAGAATTTGAAACTCATTGACGATATATTTTCTGAATCCTGCGCTACGATGAGCAATCAGGACTTTTATTTACAACTAGCCAAATATTATGTGAAACATAAATTGTATAAGGTTTTAACCATCTGTATAGAGGGTCATATATTGGACACGGATTTGTCGCAGATTGAACAGGAGGCCAGAGATTGTATAGAGCTGTGGCTGTTGTTTAAAAGTATTGAACAAACTTCAGATAGGCAAAGTCACGTGGTGCCTGTGTACAAAACTTGCCAGCAGATTGCTAAGGACGATATCGATAATTATATTTCTTCTAATCCCCATTTAGTCCTTGGTATGATATTACTCGAAGACAACGCTAGTTTGTTTGACATATTCTCCAAAAGCGATTTTCTGGAGTTTAAAGACTTCAAACTGCCAAATATGGGCTACAAGCAGAAGTTGCCACATCTATACAGCGTTTATGAAAGATCTAAAACCAGTGATTATATGTATGAATGTAAGGATGTTAATGTTTATCAGTTGCTGTCTGGCTATCGAGGTTTAGACGTGTCTAAAATATTTGAATTCCAAATAATCAATAGAAACACATACGTTCAAATGCCGGATAAAACTGACCGCAGAAGCTTAGGTAGTTTGCTGTCAGATGAACTAGATGTGCACGGTTTGAAGAATCTAACCCAAAGAACTATTGATATGCCAGACTTCGCGAATGACAAACTCATGAAGAGATATGGCTATGATGCTAAACTGAACCACATATATTATTTGAAACAATACCGTCCTTGTAATGCAAGCCAGGCTTTTGTTTCACATCAGTACCAAACATACAATCGACTCCAAGAGAAAGGTATAAAAAGTGCATGCTGTGAAGCCCATGCCTTAGCTCTTCAGAACTGGTTCGACCCCGCTATGACTGCTTGTGCTATATCATTCGTAGCCATGATCGGATGTAACCCAACTAGATGTAGAGTTCACATCTCAGCCACTAAAATGATCAAAAATCATCTCATACATCGAAAAGGTTTGCCCGAAAATGAAGTTAATAAAATCATTAACGATTATATGGTGAAACTTATTCAGAGCAACGATGACACAGCGAGGACCATACTGAAGTACTTAGAAGAAGTGACTTCTTGTAGACTAAAAGAATTAAGAGAAATAAATGGCGAAATAGATATGTCTGTGGTTTTATATGAATCTCAAACCATGATAAAATTTGCTATGCTACATAACTTACCATTACCAGAGGAACAGCTGAAACAATTCGTCAACGATAATTCTTGGTTTAACTTCTTGCTATTTGGAGACGTATTTAGATACCCTCTATCTCAAATGTTAAAACTGTCACAGGAATTCTCTAGGAGGTCCTACGCCGAACACTTAAAACATATAATACTCAATAAATCTACTGAAGATGAGAAAGAACAAAAGTCTAATTCAAGTAACGGGCAAAGAAAATTAACAAGACTGAATTCTGGAGATATTGTGAGTATAATTATAAAATTCAGTTCTAGTTCTCACTTCGTAAAATTCATAAATCAATACCAAATTCAAATTATATTAAATATTCTATGAAAGTTGTAAAAAATAATAAATTCTTAAGAAAGTGAGACTAATATAAACTAAAGTGAGACTAATATAGTGAGACTAATATATACTATTTAAACAATAAAAACGATTTTCCATATTTATCTGCAGTCTCCAAAGGAATGTCTGGTGGATCAACCCGCGTATCTAAGCCGTGAGCTTTGGGAGGTTTCTGCATCATGTCATGGGCCGGAAGATCCTCCGGCGGCTTTATTAAAATCGGCTCAACAGTATAGAGAACCATTATTAGTATTACTAGCCAGCTGCTACGAGGTGAGTGAAGTTTTGATCATTAAACAACAAATTTTGATCCAAAAAAATCTTGATCCTATGACAGGAAAAAAAATTATTTGGTATAGATGTATCAATGAAATTTCCTTCACAGCCAAATGCCGTGGATATTCTGTGGGGTCATTGGATTTTGGCGTCGATAGAACCCACTACAAGGAGTCGGGAGGACTTGCAAGCAGAAATTGCCCAAAATAGTCCAGCGCAACTATTAATGAAAATCGCAGAAGTCTGTATTATAGAAGGCTACATCAATACATTGCACGAATCTTTCCTTATATTTATGCCGGTAATAAGATTTATATATAAAAATATTCCTGCTATTTAAGGCATAGGCAATTAAAATCATGTATACTCTTTCAGGAGAGTCCACTTGCTCTTCTCACGACATTCCTTCAACGTTGCGTTAAGCAATTGATTTTTGATTCGGAAACTAACAAGTATGTGACGAGTTTCCTCAATCATTGTCATCGCAGATACAGCGTGGACGCCAGCGGTTTTCCATTTGAATTATCGAAGGAATCGCTTCAAAGAACAGCAGTTTCACTGGTCGTGTTAACACTTATACACAATTTCGACTCAGCCTTCCATCAAAGAGAATTCTTAAAGTGCTTGTCTGATTCTCGCTTTGGAGTGGATTTTATAGGTAAATATATTTGTGTAGAAGAAAGTTAAAATATTAATAATATTCTTACATATAATTTAATTAATTATTCCATTAATGTTTCCAGTACCTTGTCCAGATTTC